GGCTGGTCACGCCGCGGTGAGGGTTGGGCGGAGCCGGTCCAGAGGAGAAACGGGAGAGAGAGAGTGAGTGAGTGAGAGAGAGAGAGGGGTAACACGTAAAAGTGGATGCAGTTAAGCGACTGTTGGCTATGCCATGCGTGCAACTTACAGGAGGTTCTTTGGTACACGTGAAACCGGCTTCCTCAACCTGATAGCGGTCGCTTATGCTGCTTCTAGCAGACATTGACCCAGGGACATGGTGTAGTTTCGCGGGACCTTATAAATCATTCGAAAGGGTTCGTTGGGGTTCACACGATATTCGGATGTAGACGAAAATGACGCTGTATACGCCCCTGACTTCACCTTTTGTCAATCATGCCGGTAGGTGTTCCCTTATTGTTTCGGATGGGTGCCGACTGTATGACCAATATAACCTGCTCCACAGGATCAAGTAAATAGCAATGACGCCTTCACTTATCGACCCCCTACCCCTCACGCGCTATTATAATGACTCAGTTGGATGAAATAACGAACACAATTTGCCGCAGATTTTACCCTTGACCCCGTTCCCATGTAAATGTAATGGCCCGATAAGACTTTATCGAAAGCTTACGTATGCTCGTCAACTGCCTTACTGAATACTATGGCGAATACAGTATGGCGAGTGCTGTAGGCATAATGCCGCAATTTGTGTAAGACTGGTTTTTACTCGCAAATCAAAATTAAGTAGGGTTGCAATACTGATTATCGTGCAGTTTAATCCCAAGTTTTTTCAATCTCGTCAGTTTGCGTGCTCTTTAAGGAGCTTTTTTCTGATCGCTTAAAAAATTTAAATTCTGAAAAAATGGCTACTTAAATAGTACTTATTTTGTGCTTGGCTTTGTCAGCCTTTATAAATTCAAATGTACTTTCTATAAAAAATGTATGAAAATATTCTTTCCTGTGTTCGTTTGGTAGAAAATTATGCTTTCTTTAAATTAAATACTTAAAGAAAGGGTTTCTTTCGGCTTTAAAAACTTTCTAAACTGGCGACTAATTTGGAAACTTATCGACCGCTACACCTCAAATTCTTTTTTGTAAAATTAGCAGATTAATTTTGACGGCTCAAGTGGTCAGTATTCACGAGTGTGATAAGAATGGGTGCATTTCAACATTTTCAGGCATATTACGACGCGGCACTTGGTGGATTGCTCTCTGAAAACCAATTTTACGAGCATAATCATATACTGTTAGTAATTTATTAGTAAAGTACTGGCGTAGCCAAGGAAATGACCAGGTGGTACAAAAATGCTAAATGAAAACCTACAAATGCTACCACATAAAGAAACTTTTTACCATTATACCTCAGAGTTGGTTTGCACCTATTGATTAATAGTCACGGAGATGAAGCCTTGCAGACTGTTTTCATGAACTGAGGAAAATGTTCGCATTCCAGGTATGTGCATAGATAGAGAAGGAAAAGGTTTTTCGATCATTGGAATCATAATTTTATTCGTCTGAGCGTTAGGACTCTTGCTGGAGCCCATCATAAGAGACAAAAGAGTCGACAGAAAACAATAAACAGGTATAGGGGCAGGGACCAATCAATCACGGGTGCCGTCAGTCCGGAGATGTCTCATAGGACAATGCATGCCGGTGTGGAATACGATGTAATCAGGCCCGATAATA